GCAATGTTGTCCATAGCTTGTCATGATCCATGCAATCAAAAGGCTTTGTGTAGTCTATAAAGCACAGGTAAACATCTTTGTGATATTCTCTGCTTTCAGCCAAGATCCATCGGACATCTACAATGATATCCCTTGTTCCACGACCTCTTCTGAATCCAGTTTGAACTTCTAGAAATTCTCTGTCAATGTACGCTTGTAGCCGTTTCTGTATTACTTTTAGTAATATTTTACTCGCATGGGATATCAAAGAGACTGTCCGATGATTTCCACATTCTGTTGGGTCACCTCTCTTAGGAATGGGCACAAATATGGATCTCTTCCAATCAGTCGGCCAGATAGTTGTCTTCCAAATTTCTTGGCAGAAATGAGTGAGTGCCTACTGTGATGCCTCACTTTCTTGACAGATTTTAATTTGTATTCCACCAATTCGTGGTGCCTTGTTTTTTGCTGATTCCTTCAATGCACCTTGGACTTCCTCCTTCAGTATCACTGGCTCTTGATCATATGTTACCTCTTTAAATGGCAGAACATTAACCATTTCCTTTTGGTATAGTGACTTTGTGTATTCCTCCCATCTTCTCTTGATGCTTTCTGCATCATTCAATAATTTGCCCAGAGAATCTTTCAATAATGAAAGTCGAGTTTGAAATTTTTTCTTCAGTTCCCCCAGCTTGAGAAATGCTGAGCATGTTCTTCCTTCCTGGTTTTCTGATTCCAAATCTTTGCACATTTTGTTGTAATATTTGGCTTTATCTTCTCAAGTTCATCTTTGAAATTTTCTGTTCATCTCTTGTACTGCCTCATTTCTTCCATTTGTTTTAGCATTTATATATATATATATAGCATACAGGTTGAATATATATACAGACATATATTTACACACATATATATGGAGTCCTGGTGAAGTGCTGTGGGTTAATGCCATGGACTGCAAGTTCGGTTTGAACCACATGGTTGATGGATCAAGCACACCAGCTGCTTCTCGGAAACCCTATGCAGGGTCATTATGAGTCAGGGCTAACTTGACGGTTCTTAACAACATGTATATATATATACACTGGATATTATGATACCAATAAATATTTCACCAGAAAGGTTTTAGCAGAGCTTCCAGATGAAGACAGGAAGATAGAGTGGAAAGAAAGCCTAGTTCTACTTCTGAAAATTAGTCAATGAAAATCTTATAGATTACAATAGAACACTGTGCTTACTTTGGACATATCATCAGGAGGAATCAAATTTGCTGAAGGAGGACATAATGTTTAGTGAACCATAGGATCAATAAGGGTGAGGAAGACCCTCTGTACTATGGATTTATAGACTGATGAAGGGCTGGGAAACGTTTTTGTTCTATTGTATGTAGGGTCTCCATTATTCAGAGTCAACT